ACGGCACATGTAAGTTGCGCTGACAGCGACACAGAGGTCCCCAAGCCCTCCCCCCCCGTCGACAGTTCACGAGCGGCGTCCATGTGTCTCCCGTCCACCCACGTAACAAACATCCCCAACTACACCACTGGTTCTGTAGTAGTACACCAACATGGGATTAAACGTGTGTTTTTTTTTTACCCAAGTGCCTTGGGGAAATTAATGGATAAAATGCACTTTATTATTAAAGGTGCATTTATTATTATTAATTATTCCCACTCCGATCGGGACACTAGGCCACCGTTCCCCGCAGCGAGGCTCCCCCCGTTGAACAGTTTACGTGGGCTGGGCTGGGTGCAGTGGACGGACTGGAACATTCGGGACCGAATCCCGATGGCCGGTACCGGGGAAGTGGGCCGGTCGGATAAGTCACTGAGCACAGATCCCCCACTCCCCCAGTTGACAATTTACTAGCGGACCGAAGTCGCCGGTCACGAGTCCGGGCTGATTTTAGTCCCAGTCCACCACTGGCTACATGACCATATATCGCCCATATTGACCGCACCTAATCCTAAAGCTTCTAACAGATACAACATAAACCGATCCTTCAACTCATATGAGAATCTCAGACCACGTTCAAAATTAACTCGTCATCGCGGTCTGAGCTTGCTGCTGTGTGCCCCACGTGCGTTTACTGCAGATGCGGATCCTGAACAGTGAGCTGGAGCACTGTGCCCGGCAATGACGTCACACATAATTTGGCGGGACTGTGAAGAATCCCCCGAGAAGATCTAGAAAATTGTCAACATTGAAGGGCAGATTAAGGTATCAAAAGTAACAAATAGTCCAAAATCAGTCAGTAACGGTTTTCAAGCGGACAATATTTACTCAAATTTGATGGGTTGGATGAGGGGGAACTCATGTCACAGGCTCTTTAAATGAAATCTCAGATTTGCACTTCTTAATCGTTTGTTTGGGTCCTCACTTCCGTTTTCGCTTTAACACCATGATAAATATAAATATTTGACAGATGCAGGGTTATAAACACCTTTTCCAAAGTCAAACAGCACTTTCAGCATTTTCAAGGTGCATTTTCAGCTTTTCAAGCAGCGTACAGCTTTGTAAAAATTACATATTTATATGCACATACTTATTCTCAAAATATTATTTCCCTACCTCACATTAAATCGAGATGTTCTTATGCTATAAACAACCAATGTGTGTTTTGTAATAGCATTCTACATAAGGATGAAATAAAGATAAGAAACAAAGTTTAATATTGTAAAATGAGTGACCCATATCATATATGGTAAAAGACTGGGCATCCCAATAATTTTACCTGGCTGAGCCAATATAAAACAATCAGCCAACTAACTTTTCAATAAATTCTTTATTAACATTTTAACATTTTTTGAGGTCCGTTTAGGGTGGCAGTAAACATACGGCTCTCCAAGGTTAGGACAAAACCATTGAAACACAAAGCTGATATAAAAAAAAGCGTGTGCAGGAGATCTCTTTCTGTGAAAGAGTTTGGAGGTTTCCAGGGAATTTTTTTAGAATATAAAACTTTTATTGCCACAAATCTCCGATAAATACATGTTTGAAGCTTGTAAAGGGAAGAGACAGCCCTCCCGTCGCACTAATGCTTTTTACGTAGCGATGCTCCCCCCTCCCTCCCGACGAATTATGAATGTATGGCGTATAGTAATCATAGATAACACGGCAGGGTCCGTTTACAGTTTGTTTTTATCTGATTTCAAATAAACAAAGTCTGGCTTTCAGAATATTAAACTTGTTTCGGTAAATTCAGATGATAAATACAACTTTGAAGCTTGTAACGGCATAATTACAAGCGGAGAACGGAGTAACTTTACGTCAAAGCAGGCATAACAACAGCCGGTGTTTCTCGTGAGTGTTTTCCCCGGGAAAATCACTACGGCTTACCTTTCATATTGCTCGTCAGCGCAGACTCTCCCATCGCGAATAATTGAAATTCTTTGTGGCAAACTGTGCAGAAGGCGAATCGTTTGGTTGATCCTCGTTTTAGCGACAGCTTGTATTTCTTTTCGGATAGCCAACGCTCGTTAAAACAGCAACCTCCTGGCATACTGTCATTCTCTCATTAGAATGCCCAGGTCACACAAAATAAAACACTTGCAGGTCGCGCGCATAGCGCGGGAAGGCCGGAGCGGAGCTGTTTTATGTAGAAGCGAAGCAACTAAGCGCGCTCCGACTTCTTTATTTTCTTTTAATCTAAAAAGCGAACTATTCAGTCAGACAGCAATTTATTGTAAAAGTAAAGCATTTACAATTTCAAGCACTTTATCTCAAATCCAAGCACCATTCCCAAAATTCAAGCACTTTTCAAGTCATGAAGACACCTCGTAAAAATTCAAGCATTTTCAAGGATTTCAAGCACCCGTACGAACCCTGCAGATTATTAAGAAACAATGTAATTTAAAGTTAATGGAATGTATTGTTTTGTTTTCTTGCGAGAGTTGGAATTGGTATTGACTATCATTGATCATTGAATTGATTGTGAAATCCAAAGTGCATATGAAAACATTTGAGTTCTTGTTCAGGTTGTTTAGAGACTCACCACTTTGATGACATACGGAGCATCAGCACCCACAGGCTTGGCAGTATTCTCATGAGCTGGGAACAAGAGAACGGAACACTTCTGATGGTTCTTATGTATATAGACTTTCTGCTCTTCAATGCTTTTATTTCATTATGTTTATCCTTTTTCCCACCTTTCAGTTTAAGATTTGAATGCCTGAACACATTGCTGCTTTAACTAAATCATTTCCCAATTATGGATCAATAAAGTACCTATCTATCTATATATATATAACTATATAATATATAGTTGTATTCATCTGCAATGTCACATTTTTCAGATTATAACTTGGTCAGTAAGTGTCTGAGAGTTACACATCTTAATCTGAATTCAGTGATTAAGCTTAGTCTTAGAACACGTCTGCAGTCCCATGATCTATACATGTCTTTCAGCATTGCATGTTAGATTTTTGAGGTGCTGTATCTGCATTCAATCTATTCTTACCCAAATATAGGAGACCAAAGCCCCCTTGGCCGATGGGAGCCCCCAGCTTCCAGGACTTCTTCCCCGTGTCTATGAGGACCTCTCCAGGGGGGAACTCCTCCGCCAGCTGCCTCTTGGCTGGAGCTCTGCCTTTCCCTGCCGCCTTCTTTTTAGGAGGCATCTAAAGCACACACACCCAGCATCACATGGTATTCTCCAGTGTTGGAAGAAGTACTTACATCCTTTACTTAAATAAAAGTGCATATACTATGGTCTTAGAATACTCCAGTAAGTAAGTAAAATCCCCGATTACAAAATGTAATTTAAGTAAAAGTAAAAAAGTATTAGCAGCCAAATATGCTTCAAGTATCAAAGTAATAGAAATGTACATGCAAAATAGATCTTTCCACAGTATTATATTATTATGGTTATCATGATATTCAGTTTTTATACATGTAAGACCTTTTTAGTGTTGTAGTTTGTCAATATGGACCAGATTTAAATACTTGAAATACTGTGAATATCAGTACTGCCTTTTACCATATCAGTTTATCGTTTGTTTTATATGTGCAAAGTTTGAGAGTGTTAAAATAAATGTAGTAGAGTAAAAAGAACGATATTTGCCTATATTTGTGGAGTAGAAGTATAAAGTTGTATTCAATGGACAGTACAAATGTGTCAAAAACTACAATACTTGAGTAAATGTACTTAGTTACTTTCCAACATTGCTATTCTCCATGCTTGATGACCTAGTGCATGTTGGGCTTAGGTTTTCAAAGTGTAAAAGTTATGTATATGCGGGTTTCACATTCGGTGCAACATGATGTCCGGTTCATCTGTTTACCAGCGGATAACCGTAAGTTTAACACTTCCTGTCGTCTTCAGTTTTAACGTTTGGCAAACAAAGCTTTACTGTACAGACACTGTCAGAATGTGTAAAGCAAAGATAACAGCCCCCGTCATCATGAACAATTACGTTTACAGCCTCACAACGTTAGAGGGCGAACGGTATAACGTTACACTGTTTTCAGTGTCGGTTAACGTTAGCTATCATGCTAACCTGGCTATCTGATTAGCTTGTCACGCTAGCTTCTCATGTCGTTTATTACGTTCGTCGATATCTGCGACGCTGTCAGTCAAACAGCCACTAACACTATTTATGAAAAGATGGGATGAATACACACCTTGACTTTGTTGTTTATTGTAGGTTAAACCGTATGAACATGGAGGTATAGGATGTAAATGCGTATTGAACGAGGACCAAACTTCCCGCAAAACTACCGGTCAGGAAGTGACGTCAGCACGTTTTGCTATTCTATTGGCCGAGTATGCTGCGTATTTTACGTCAGTGATTCCAGCGTTTGAAGATGTTTCAGTTTACTGCACAGGTGAAGAAGAAGCTTTTATTTTAGCTTACAGTTTCATACTTCTATACAAGTCAAAGTCAGTGTTAGAGTCAGTATAGAAACACTGCAGCTCAAGTTATTTTCACTAAATGTGTATTGTGTTGATGATGTGAAATATAATGAAGTGTTAAATCAGATTTTATTTCCACCTGGAGTAAATTCACAAGCTACCCTGCAGTATACAAAGTCATTCAAACTAGCTGCACCTTTACAAGCTTTGAGAACGCTTTAATAATCAATCATCAATCATATATATTATTCTGAAATGGACCAATCTGCACAACACTACTTTTAGTTTTGGAGCTTTAACTCTATTTTGATGATAATACTTTTATTTCACTTTGGAAGTGTGCAGAGCCTCACCTATTTTAAATGTGTAATTTGATATGAACATATTGGGTTTCACTTGCAACCCGGTGCACACCTCATGAATAAGATATCCGTTCTTCCGAGTGTTGTCTTTCCAGGTGACCACAGAGTGGAGAGAGCAGCACTTCCAAGAGGGCAGATGGAACTGTGTCAGCTGTTGCACACATTCTAAATGAGTGTGACTCCAGTCTCTCCTGGAGGACCTCAGTGGATCTGGACCCCCATGGTGGAGTCCTTAACAGAGCGATGACCCACTGCAGCGACAACGAGGAGCAGAGTGATGACGGAGCAGAGAGAGCCAGGAACCAGAAGAAGAGAAGTAAAGGAGAGAAGCGTGTTTCCTTCCCCCCCGACGAACAGATAGTGTCCGGCTTCGCTGAGCACAGGGACAGAGAGGGTGAGCTGCTGTTTGAATACCAGTACACATTTGAGGCTGATTCATTATCACAATGTGTCTTTTTGAAGACTATGGTCATTGCATTGAGTCACCAATTAATTAAAAACGTTTTCACTCATACCATTACTTAAATAATCCCAAACATTCAGATGTCTTAATTTGCTGTATAATTAAACAACTTCTCTCTTTAAGCTCCTGAAATGTAGCATATTTTGGGTGAATATCTCACATTAAACAACACACTGCACACTTTCACTATAGGCCTATTGATGCTTTTTTTTCTACTGGGTATTATAGCTTGTTTTAATTGTATATCATACCTATCATACCTGGTACCTGAACCACTATTCATTACAATATATTTGGCTGTATCCAAACTCCTAAACACAGCTATAGATAAATGTGTGCTTTCCAAAAATTATTCTTGCAACCATCAGGCTAGAATAACCTCTTTACCCTCATCACCACTTGAAATTGAATATAAAGCTGTCATATGTATCATGTTGTTAACTATCTTATTGGGCCAGTTTATCCAGAAGTTTAGAGCTAACCGTGTCCCAGAACCACTCTGTCCTGAATACACTTTGAATTAGAGCTGGACAATCAATTGACATTTGATCAAAATCAGCTAGTGCAATAAATAATCCCAATTTGATATATTTTTTCAAATTGTGCAATCCTGTTGTGTCCATAACAGTCTATGGTCCATAGCTGTGAATGTAGTAGGAGCTGAAATCACACTTTAAAAACACTGTCCAGGGGCCGTATTCACAAAGGATCTTAGGGCTAAAAGTAGCTCCTAACTGGCGAATTTAGGAGAAACTCCTAAACATAATGGGCGTGTCAGTCTTAAATTTAGGACTCCTATTTGTATTTACTAAGAGCAATTCACAAAGTATTTTAGGCCTAAAAGTAGCACCTAAGTTTAGGAGAGCTTAAAAGTCCTCGAGAGGACTCCTAACTCAGTAAGACCTATTCACAAAGAATCTGAAAATGGCTGCGAGACGAAATGTTTTGGAGACAATGGAAGACTGTGAATTGATCAAGAGACATAGGCTAAATCGTGAGGGTATCAAACTTGTTGTGGAATTAGTGCGGGATGCAATAACATCCCCGACTAACAGGAATAACCCGATATAAAATGTTTGGCAACACTACGATATTTAGCAACAGGGAAAATGCAACTTTGCAATGCCGACGATTTAGGAATATCGCAACCATCAGTCAGCCGTGCCATAAACCAAACCATCAACGCGCTCTCTAGACCACATATCATCCAACAGTTTATCCGGTTTCCTTTGGACAATCAACAACTACACAGGATCAAAGCCAACTTCATGGCAATTGCAGGTATGCCCGGTGCGGTCGGTGCTATTGACGGGACGCACATAAAAATAATTGCGCCATCAAAAGATGAGGACGTGTTCGTCAATAGAAAGAAAGTACATTCCATCAA